CAAACTATTTGTTTTTTTCACTCGGAACGCAGCGGATTTTTAGAGCTATTAACAGTGTACAAAGCACAAAGGTAAAACAAAGTTGTTTACTGCTGGATAGAGTGTACACAGTGTTTCTCGGCCAAATCTTGAGTGTAAATATCTGGCGTGCATTCACGCGATGTGACGTTTGGAGATTTTTTAAAAAAAAATGTTCTATAGTGTAGAAATTATCAATTGATCAATCGACTGCCGAATTGGTCTCCAAAATGCTTGACTGTGATACTTTTTTTTCAGTACAGTCAGTGTTCGAAACTCACCTTTGAGTAATAGGAGCCATGTGGCGCAACAAGCCTGATTTTTAGGCGCCATTGAAGATTTTTCAGGGGCCAGATTGACTTTTCGCCCATATATTACGATATACTTATTGTTAGTGAAAAAATAGACGCAAGATGTTTTCGTGACAGAACCAGTAAGTAGCTGTAACTTGGGGGGAGACAAAAGCATTAAGGATGAAATCGTGAAGAATAGAAGAAGCTTTCACTTGTAAAGCTGAAAATTTCGAATAATCACCTAATAAGAAACTTCAGATTTTTAAGGGGCAATTTTTAGGGGCCACGTTGGCGCAGAGCCTTCATTTTTTAGTCGCTATGGCCGATTTTTTAGGCGCATTTGGCGCCTGTGAGTTTCGAACACTGAGTGTAAACCATGTTGAGCCTTCTTCGGTGAAGAGCTGTTTAAGGAGCTTTGAATACAGAGACAAGAGACCCTCCACTAGTATCTTGGCCATTGTGGAAGCTTTTATTTCGGGACTTCAGCACTCCAGTGTTGACTTACCTACATGGTTGATGTTCAACAACGTGTTGGCAGTTTCGTTTTGCAAACAAGCCGAAAATGGCCGACGTTTGGGAAAGTTGTTTGGCTCATGACGTCATCCGAAGCTCATCATCGACCATGTAGGTAAGTCAACAGCCGAAAATAGGGTGATGACTGTTGCTCGCTAATAATTGTCCATAAGGAATTGTTGAAACCCCGAAAGTAAAAGCTTCCACCTGTCGCTAGGAGGCCAGTGGAGGGTCTCTTGTCTTTGTTTGAATACGGCCCACAGAGGAGCTCTGCTGGCTCGGTTTGGCAACAGGGACCAAAGGGCCCTGGCCTACAGCGTCTGGGCCCATGGTGGGTAAGCAGGCACAAAGCGCGAAGCTCTACGCATCTGGAAATTCATTCTCTGTGCCTGCCAGGGGTGGCCAGGGGGAACGGCCAAACAGACCGAGCCGCCGCCAAGAAGCAAGAAGCCGCGAGTCGAGAACTCAAGAGGGCTGAACGAGGAACCACACTTCACGGCGTTTTCAGCTTTTCTAGAACCTCGCCTGCTCCATCGCCATAAAACTCCGCGAGATCTTTAAAATACCTACTCGAGACTCCAGATTTCCACCTTGGAATCCTCGTCCCGTTTCTTTGCAGGATTGGAACCAAGCAAGTAACAGTAGAATATAAAAGTACTCGTATAGAGAAAATAAAAATCTAAACCTAATTAACACTCCTATCTTTCTATACCTAAAACGAACTAACAAATTACCCTCTTAATATTTCCAGACCCCATCCAAGGCCGCAGTATCTACCCGATAAAACGCCTTAAAACCATATAAAAAAGAAAAAAAAAAGAAAATAAAAGAAGAACGATTGCGAAAAGTAAACGATGAGAACAGGGGGACAAGAGTGAGCTCTGTTAGAGCATCCCCCCCCCAAAAAAAAGTTAAATAACCTGCGGGCCGATTATTGAAATTTAAACCAGCCGCGATAAGACATCGAATTGCGATATGTTGCATGGTTAAGATAGGCTATGTCTTGTCGTGTCGGGCTGACACAGTTTCAATAATCGGGCCGCTCAGGAGAGGGGACGCCTGCCTCTATGTTATCGACATCTTCAAATTCATTATTTACTAATATTTTTCTTCGTATATTCATTTTTCGTCACTTCCTTTTCATTTCATTTTTTTTGATCATTATGAGGAATATAATCAAATTTCGTAATTTTTCCATCCGGCAAAAGAGAGCTCAGTCAGTTTTTATTTGCGCTTTTTCACTTAGACTGCAAAAATCAATATTTTCTTTTTAAATTAATTAATTTTTAATAATTTGATTTCCTTTTCCCGCACACAATAAGAACAGATTTATTAACTCGTGAAATTAATTTAAAAGAGGGATCCAAGAACCAACTACATTGTGATACTTATCGCGTTTTCACATGCAACCAACACGCACACCTCTTGCTTACCAAAATCCTTGGAAGGTATTTTTTTTTTTTTAATAAGTACGGTCCAATTCTACGGAATAAGACTGAACGATATGTACGTGTACACTGTACATGCAATATTTTTGAGGTCGGAATCATCAAGTAAAATTAACTCGTCGAGAGTGGGGGAAAAAAGAGAAAGGTGGGAAAAATTTAGTATTAACATTAGGTACTTTACAGGTTAAAATATTAATTCATAAGAAAACTATAATTAGTCAAATTTTCTTTAAACTAATAGGACTCAAGCAATACCCTCTAAGGCACAAGCATCCGCGCTGATAGCTGTTTTGTTTCGAGCACCAACCTCGCACCGCACCCCCCAACGTGAACGAGTGTGTGGGAAAAATAAACAGCACTCGCCTCGATGGACAAGAATTTCCTTCAACTGGGCGGGTATGCAACACCATGACTTTGACGTTTTGATAGTTGCGCAAGAGCACGGCGTTGAGGCCACGTAAGAGAGATCGGATAGACTGCTAGGTAAATTGAAGTAGATTTATTGAGTTCATTAAATTAATTTGCGTCTATTTATGGTGAGGAATAATTATCAATCGGATGCCTCAAAAGAGGTCATTATTTTGATCCTACTTAATATCAGTATTTTGATTAATATGATCATTATTATTAATGAAGATTTTGCTTCTTGATTAAATAATTACTTGAGTACCTACTTAAAGTCATATTTTTCGGGGAAAATTAAGTGTAACGTTCTTCATTTCTTTGTAAAGTCCCTCGGTAGAATAAATCTATAAAATAATATAACACAAATCTTAATTCGAATTATTCTTCCTTCATGTATTTATTCTTTCGATACTTCATAAAGTAAATTTGAATGCTTTTGATAAAAAGCAAAAAAAGTTTAGTAGAAAAAAAAGGGTGCCCGAGATGCACAGTCCTTGAAATGATCAGTGCCGAAGAGTTGAAAAAGCGTCAATAAATACTAACTAAGCATTAATGTTCAATTCTCTTTTGCAGGATGGAAAGATTACGAAAATTGATTATATTCCTCTTAATGATAAAAAAAATAAAATAAAAAGAAAGGGACAAAAATAAATAAGTATACAAAGAAAAATATAAATAAATAATGAAATCGAAGGTGTATAGGTCACATGGAGGCAGGCGTCCCCTCTCGTTAGACTTTTTGAGGGGGGGGATATCCTAACAGGGATTACTATTGCCCCCCTCCCCGTTTTCATCGTCTACTTTTCTCAATCGTTTTCCCTTAATTTTACGTTACTCTTCTTGTGGTTATTGAACTAGATTTTTCTCAGTAAAATCTTTTCCAGAATCTCCATTACCTTCTCAAACTAGGAATTCGTCCTTCTTGAGAAGTTGTGTACGTATCATGCACCCCCTATTTAGCACGCTGAAGTTATTTTTGAGATTAATTTGCCTAAAGTAGGCTTTATTTATATCTAAAGCGGAAAGTTGGAGCAAAGCTCATTGACAGTGCTAGTTTTACGATGAGTTTAGTTAAGAAAAGTGCAACTAAACAAAGAGCTTTGCCATTTAAAATAGAGCCACAAAAGCCTGGCAAAAAGGGTGCCTGATGCCTCACATTCTTGCTCTATGATCGTCTTCTTAACAATCACATTAGAGAACAACGGATAATTCTAACATGCCTTTTGTTTTCTTACTTGGAGGAAAATATACTTAATGGCTGTTTTAACCTTTCTGCTTGTCAGTGAAATGAATTATAGACACGCTTTTTAACAGCCGTGCACTCCATATTTCACCATGCCACCCCTTCCCTAAATGTCTATCTCAATGCGCCACTTATTACGCGAATTGTTGGCTACTTAGGGTGGCAAGTAAGAATGGACATTTCAATTTTTTACAGATAACATTGTTCTAGTGTTTCTGAAAGTTTCTTTTACATCCCTCTGCACCAATTAGAAAAACCCTTATTCTCCTTTTGATTTCTGTCGGAGAATTAGGTACTAAAGGAGTGGAAATTATGAGATGATGCGATAGGAATATGTATTTTCCAAGTTAACACATTTGTATGCAACAAGATGATTTAGATCCTAGATTTAATTCAGACACTCACTGTACCTACTGATATCTGGTACTTATAAAATTCTGAGTCTGTCTGGCTTTTCAATGCATCTAAGGTAAATTGTGTGAAGACCGTGAGATCCTAACCTATAAATCACCTGTTTGGAAGCGGATGCGAGAAGATGATGAGATGATATGAAATTTGGGGACTCTTGCAGGAAAATGCCCTTTGCAAATATAAGAGTGTAACTTGATTTGATTAAATTTGCTGTCATCTAGCTTAACAAAGGTACCTTTTAGTTGTTTTGTGTGGTAAAGCTCCACCATTGGATAACAGTGAACCGATACATCTCCTTCTGCGTTAAATTAAGAGCCTCCTTACAACTTAAGGGGCCTCCTAACCTTAAATGATGCGACACATATGATATTGGGGCTTGCATCAGGAGGGAAAGGTTCAACTTAAAGTACGGCGCAACTAGCTCTGAAGGAATTAAAAACTTGACCAAATTCCTTGGCTTACTTGATAACAGCGTCGGTCTCAAACTTAGTTGGAGTGTGAGACGTCTCAATCTTACGCTGATAACTAAACATACCTGGCTCTCGGTTACTAGGCAGCCCTTGGGTAAGGCTGTCAAATAATCAACTAATGATGAGCAAGGTGCGAAAGCACTGACAATGAGCTGCCAGCCTGCAGAAAGTTCAGATGGTTTGAAAGAAGGGACCTTACCTTGATTGAGTGTACTTCCAGACTGCCCCATGAGTGACAACTCTTATCAACTGCAAAATGATTCACATCAAAACTTTGGGAGAAAGGGTGATATTGGTGACAAGGGAGATCACTAAAACCGATCCAAGATTCACTGATAACGGACTGAAAAAACACGAACTATATCATGAAGATGGGGAAACACTATTCACGTAGACGGAAAATCATGTACACGAATAATGGACACGGAATGACTGGCTCATGATTTGAAGTCAGAGATGAGGTGATATGTCGGCAGGCCGTTGCCAGCACTTATCAAAGCTCAAAAGCTGGAAACTTGCGCAAAGCGCTGAGTGTGTATTGGTGTGCATGGTGGTGGAAAGCCGGAAAAGAGAAAGAGAGTAGTGCGGGTTGCGGAGCCTTACTTTAGAAGGCGCGTAGGTACGTTTGTACGTTTTTATTATGTTTTGCAAGCACCAAGCAAGCACTCAACTTCGGGTTTGCGTTGTCAATCTCAATTTATCAATGCGCTTATAGACGAACTGAAGTTCGATGCGTATTCACTCCCGATCGTAAAAATGTAAGTAATTTCCTAATAATTTTTTAAAATGTAAGGGGCCGCTCAAGTATTATGTGATTTACGTGAAGCAGTTTTTCGCATTTTTTACCCCCCCCCCCCCCTATTTTCAAAAAATCAAGAGAACGCTGAGAAAACAACTTGAAAAAAAATTGAATTTTTTATTAGATATTTCGCTGATATACGACGGTGAGAGATCAACAAAAGTGCGGAGATTCATTTGAGAAGGGCGGGATTTTAAATTCTTTGCACATTTTTTTCAAAGTTTTTTTTTCCCCTCCCGGATAGGATTTGTTCCGTAACGCTGGGCTTGATCCCCCTCCCACCCTTATAAGGCACCGTAACGCAGGCTCAATCCCCCCCCATCCCCCATAAGTGCGTTACGTAATAATCGAACGGCCCCTGAGGTGGTGAGGTAAGGTACCTTCTTTCTTTTCCCGGGCGGGCGATTTAAGCCCTATTTATTCCGGGTCAGTAATTAAAATCATGAATCGAATAGCTCAGATTTTGTTTTATTTTTTCATTTATTTAATTTTAATTCATTTATCTATTTTTCGATGATGAGAGGGAAATACTATATACTCCATTCTATTCACTGTGAAGTTTTAAATGTACAGCGACAAATTTAAAATTGTAAAAATAAAAGCAGATTTGCATGTACCTGAGTCAATTTTAAAACTTAAAAAATTTGTCTGAGAATCTGCTTCTCTCATCGTCTTCATAGGCATACCTTTGCTTTTGCAGAGATCAAAGGACCCTTATGATGAGTATCTGGAAAATTTTACCTCAAAAGGTGAGCTTTTAAAATATTATGTGGATCCGAATCGTAGGTCTTGAATAATAATATCATTCTTTAGGGTAGCTTTAGGGAAGTGAATCGAGCGACCGTCTCAAACAACATTTGAATTTCCCGCTATTTAGAAATGAAGATTTCCGGCTAAATTTCATTTCCGGTTCAGTAAGTTTCATTCATTCCTACTATTCGAAGTATTGGAATACTCGGAATAAACAAGGAATGGACTGAAAACCTGTTATATTTCCCGCCAAACAAATGTAAACATGGCCAGCTGATGAAGAAAGTGTTTTATTTGAAGTTCTCGGTTTGGAAAAGTGCAGATCTTTTTCTCTCAGATCGTGTGTATCGTGTGTTCTGCTCCTCTCTTTAATGTTGTTCTCATATTCTGTCTATCAAACTATCACCGACGGAGGGATTCTCACCTAATCGACCCGTCTGGATCTCGAACATCTCAGTGCTTCATTCCTCTCCTCTGGCACCTCATTTGTCTCAAACTCTGCCGGTTACAAACTTCAATCTTCAAAATGAACGGTGGAAGAAGACGGAGCATGCTGGGGACTCGAAATCTGGGGCTGCAGCCTGTGAAATTGAGCATTCCTGGGTCTCATCTTGGAAGTAAATATAACATTTTTTCACTCGAACACCACTCATGTTGCAGTTGGAAGTTCTGTCGTTGTGGCCAATATTTCATCAATTACTGTTACGATATCATTGAATTCATCACTATGAGGTTTACTCTCTCTACAAGGGCCGGCAAGAGTAACCAAGATTCAAAATTTCTCGCTCGCATGCCGTATTTAAGCATAGAAATGGCCTATCAGATAATCCATAGTGGAGTATCTTATTCCGCTCTCTTCTCTTGTAAACCTCTGTCAATTGCATACTTTATCCATCTGTACAAGTATGCATATCGTCGAAAAGTACTTGAAGTTACATTTTATAAAAAAAATTTAGGAAACCTCCGAATTGCCCCTCTAGAAGTTTGCAGGATCCATGTTCAGGGTATGAAAATATTGACTGAAACGTTGAACCCCCATCAGTGAAGCTTACTCAAATTGAAGTCAGTATTCTTTGCTGTCACTTTTAATCAACCTTGAGTTTTTCAGAGTCCAGGTTCGATAAATTCCTTGCCGAACAAGTCAAGGCTGGTTAAAGCGAGGTTGAAGACCAGCTGTTTTCAGTTTACATAGCCTTGAAAGTTAATGTAAGGATGTAGATGGTGGATCTTCTGTTGCACTCTAAAAGTGCGTAAACTTATTTGGTATGGATGCTAAGTATGAATTCCAGTGGAAGAGAGTGTGGGTTTGTTACAGGTTAACTGCTGACCCTTTGCCAAATTAGTCGAAGCAGATGCAATATAGTGAACTTTATCCCTCTCACAAAAAGGCATCATACTGAAGGACTTGGTGCACATAATGTTATGTGCTTTACAGTGTTCAAGCTACTGATATCACGGATGTCAAGGACAATTTCCACACCTCAATCTTGAGATGCAGTTTTTCAGTAGCATTGGAAAGAAAAAAAAATAAAAATGAAGCTTGGTTAATGGTTATGTTCAGTCAAAAAAATGCTTCCATGGACAGAAGAATTACTCTGTGTTTTGTTTCCTAGTAAATCTTGCACACGAAGGTCTGGTTTGGAACTCCTTCACCACGCCTGGTAACGAAGTATCGGCAGACAGTATGGATACTCAACAAGTCCCTTCGTATTATGCATTCTAACCTTTTTTTTATTTGTTTCGTCTTGCAGAAAGGCCTGATTCTTCAGGTCGCAAAAATCGTCCATTTGGGACGCAGAAATCACCCCAAAAATCAGAACAAGGCGTAGTCAAGAGGCTGTTTGACGAACCTGCGAAAGTTGAAAAAAGGAGTCCGATTTACACTCGTTTGTCCTCAGCAGCTGTTGTGAAGGATGCGTCTCCTGCGAAAATCAACCTATCTAAGGTAGGTAACTTCATCCTAAATTATTAGTATTTTCTACTACCTATCAGTGCTATATTCAGTAAATATAGCTCAGTGACAGTCATTCACATGTGCAATTTTTGTTCAAAATTTTCTTTTAATGGAGCAGACTTTAATCACTGTGACTTTTGAAAAGCTCACAGTCTATGTGCCTGTTAGTCAAGGGCGTTGCCTACGAGAATGGAGAGGCTGTAACTAGTCAATTTTGTGATGTCAAGCCAGTAGATATTTACCGAAAACAACAAGCATCTCCGGGTCTTCGGTGCATCAATGAGTGAGGCAGTCGCTGCGTGGACCAATCAGAGTGGCCCTCGATCGGCCGAAGTTGTATAAGCGGCATGTTTGAATCTGATAAGTAGAGAGTAACGATTTTCGGTATTACGCTTTCATTTCCTCAATTATTAGACAATGTCACGTATGGGTTAGTTAGTTTTCTGAAGTGAAATTTTACCCTCTTTCGAAAATGTTCTTATGAATTTTTGCATTAGATCAACCCCCGAGAAGATATCGGCTTGAAAGAAACATGTGTCAGACGTTCTTTCATAAGAACATATGTTAAACCGCGACCGAGTTTCATCCACTAGCGTGACATCACAGAAACGTAGTTACGGCTTTCTCCATTCTTGTATGCAACGATTAAGGGATCTAGCCTGGCAGGTAGGCATTTCTGTGATCCAACGGAAATGATGTTTTCCTCTTTTTACCATGAGATTTTTATAACTGGTAGTAGGCAATGTCATTTCATAAGGAAGGACATATACACTCACAGGTGTGACTTTCCAGCTCCGCTTGAGAGAGTGGTTACGTCACTGAATTGGTACAAAAATAATTTGGAGCTGGAGCAATGAAAATGTTGACATATTCTGATGAACTTAATTTCTCCTAGACTTTTCTTGGAGTACCTAATTGAAGATTTGGCTGTAGGTTCCACATAAAGAATATAAGCCAATAAACCAACAGAAGAAGACAAAGTAATTGAAGGTCAAAAGCTGGAAAATGAAAGTTTGAAATGAACTGTTTGACCTTGTAAAGCTATTTGAAAAATTACCTATAAGCAATCTGGTATTTCTATTCCAATATAAGATGGTATCAATCTTGGCATGTTCAAAGTTGGTTCGGAAAGCTTGTTCAAATCTTCTTTAATATTTCTTTCTCTTTCCCAATATTGTAAAATGAAGCCTTGTTGAGTGTTTCAAACAGAAATGTTGCTGAAAACTTGTAAACAGAAACTTTTCCTGGAATTATCTCAGAAAAAATTTTAGAAGAAGCTTCTGCTCACTTGCTTTCACTTAGCTTCTTTTTTTACAATTTATAGGGAAATAGCTTTAATCCAACTCAATAATTTTATCAAAATGTGCCCAAGGCTTTACCCAGAGTAATTCAATTTCGTAAAGATATCCAAGGAAAAGATTTGCACAAGCTTCAAAAATGAATCCCATCATTTGATCACAGCAAGATTAGTTTTCTCATTCATAGGATATTGAATATTGATAGCCCAAGTGCGAAACTACATATCTCAATCAGTGTTTCAAAATTTCCTCTCCTATTTTATTTTTTTGAAGAGATACAAGTCAACCTAATATCTTGAAATTCATACAGAATATATATTCTACCAATGGAGAAAGAAAATCAAGGAAGTTTTTAAGAAATAAAGATGTCTAGTTTTCAAAATAAAAAATAACGTATGACAAGGAGTCTGCAATGTCGCAAACAAAGATTACAATTTAGCCATTAATATAGTCTTACATGAATAGAGCTACAAAGTCTGTACTTTTCACATTAAAAAAAAAAAAAAAAAAAAA